GGATGAGGTCCTGCTACCATGGTCTCCACTTGGGTGGACAAGGCAGCTTTGCTTTCAAGGGCAAACTGTCCAGTAGCTTCCCTGTTGTCTCTCCTGCATTATTTCTTCTCATTAGAATTGTAGTGCCAGCATTTGCCTTTAAAGCAATTATTTAAGTGTTGTCTCCTCAAGGGGCCAATTTGCCTTCCAACCTCGATAAGCTGCCTTAATTCCTGGTACAGACAGGGTGCAGGCTGGGGAGCAGTGTTGCCATCAGTGGCTCGATGGAAGGTTTTGCATAGCCTAATGCTAGATATTGTCTTTCTTGTTCTGTGGAAATTTTCAGACCTTGCCTCTTAGCTCTTGATGACTGGGGTCCTAGCTCACCAGGATCTCAGATCCAGAAGGTAATGACCTAACCCCCGTGTTCAGAAAAGATTCTGAGGTCTATATATTAGGGACTCTGGCACTTTCAAGCCCCATGAGGTCACAGGTGCAGTGGGCTAGAGTTTGTGAGGGCGGTAATCCAAACATATTTTGCTTGGCTTCGGGAGTGTGATGGGTCATCAACCCCCACATTTGTGTACCACCTTCTCCCCCAACCTACACTCAGGGGTGGAGTACGGTGGCCTTCCCAGGATCAGAAATAAAACCTCACACAGAGGAAATTAGCTACACCTGAGTAGACAGTTGCCCCCACTGACGTCAAAGGCCCCCTTTCCACAGCACCAGGTGTTTTGGAACTGTGGAAGAGGGGTCCTGAACGGGAAGAGCTTCTGAGGAAGAAAAGCAAACAAAAGGGGGTGGGAGGATCCTCTCGCCTCTCCCCAGAATTCCAGGGAGAGGCGGGAAGTGTGGTGGGGAGCAGATCAGTTCCCAGCACAGGGGCCTTTCCTGGATATTGCTAGTTCAGGGCCTATGGTCTTGGGCTGACACCTGAATATTTGCTCTTCTTTGTCCCCTGCCACTTAGTCCATTGGTTCAGCCCTGGATGCTTGTCCTTTGCCCTCTAGCTCTGGCCTCTCTTAGAGCTTCTGAATTCTTGTGATGCCCTCACTTTGGCTTCTTAAGCATCCATAGGTGCTCTCTGACACAATAGGAAGATGCAAACAATATGTAACCAAATTGGAAAGAAAGGAAGTGATCACTTTTGCAGAAGCTGTGCACGAAGTCCAGTGGGTTCATCAGCTAAACAGAACCACAGTTCTTAGAAAGACAGGATCTGCCATATATGTTAGACTTAGAGTGGGGCAGACTTAAGGTGCTGTCTTGGAAAGCAAAAGGCCAAGATGTAATCCTGTCCCCAACAGGTCCTACCAAAGGCCAGAGCTTGGGTACTAAGGGTTCTCCAAGAGATCTATTTATGACTGTGGATCTTTCTTTTGGAGGTTCAGTTAATCAGAAGTCACTTCAGTCCAGAACGAAATTTTCTTCATAATGCTTATGGCTCCCTTTATTTCCAGCCTTGTAGAGGAGGAATGACAGAATTAAACACCAGGATGTCAGAGGGCCCCAATGTACAAGGTGGAGTAAATGCAAGCTGGCGCCAGCCATTCCCTAACGTGCTGCTTCCTCTGCTACACTCTGCTTCGGCAGCTGTAGGAGGGGCTGGGGCTCCTAGTTATCAATTCACAGAGAGTTAAGGACCCCTGGAGGCTTTGAAATTCCTAGTTCCCATCATCATCATCATCGTTATCATCATCGTCTCTTATAAATACTTCAAATTTGCCAAACAAGACTATTGTTGAGAAATCATGCCCACACTGAAACTGCCATCCCTTGCCTGGTTTAGATGACAGCTTTCCCCAGGCCTTCACAATATTTAGGACCCAAAGGAACAAAGCTCAGACTCCTATAGGGAGCACAAACTGGGGTCCATGAGTCTGACGTGGCCACGATGCTGGCTGGGAGACCTGTGAGAGAGGGTTGGCTGGGGGAGAACCCCTCAGAAGGGAGAGAAGTGGGGAGGAACAGGTGAAGTCCCAGCTGAGTGATGTTGGTCCAGTCTGCGTACTTAGAGCAGCCAGGTTGCACGTTTTGATAAACTGACCGAATGTCTAACTGGCCAAGCTCCAGGAAAATCTGGAAAGGTAATAATGGTATATTTTTGGTACTTTTCTTGTCCATGTTCTTATATTTTTTTCACCTTAGCTGCACTTCCTCCTTATTCATCTGTAGGAAACCAGGGCCATAGAGTCATAGAAACTTGGAGTTGGAAGAGAGAGGCTGCAGTGGGCCTGTGGTTTTGCTCCCTCACACCTTGGCTAAGAAGTTGTCCTCAACGGAACTCCCACCCCTGCTCCTGCACTGTCTCATAGGCAACCATTTCTCAGGCAACTTCCATAGTTTCAAAGCACCCCTCTCTACCAACTCCATCTGTCTGCTTATAATGCCCACCTTTGTGCTCTGTGTGCTGGGGTGACATCTAATTGACTTCTAGTACACAAGTCATTTCCTGCTGCAGACAGATGTGGCCCCCCATTTCTTCTTTTCAAGCCCAATACAACCAGCTTCATCATCATATCCAGAGGAACAAGGGGCTCCAGATCTCATTTGCCCAGCTTTCCCTCATCTCAGCCTGCTCTTTTTTTGCCAAAGACTCTCTCAAAATGTGCAGTGCATGTTTTCTTTGTACGCTCCTTTCAGTTTTCATCAAACCTTTTCTCAGAAATGGCCCCTCCAACCTAAGATGCAAATGGTTGATCATGCTTACTGTGTGCTTCCCAGGACTGTTTACATTTTAACAGGTTCAAAACCTTAAGTTGCAAAGGGATGGCTGGGAATGCTTGCGCAGCAGGTAATAGCAACACAGGAGAAAGGAGAAGAGGCACAGAAGTTTTCCTGGAATCCTCAAAAATCATGCCTGATTCTTTCCTAAACAGAAGACTGAACCAGCCAGATAACTACCTTAAACAAAAACAGGCTGTGGACTGAAGCAGGCTCTGATCATCTGAGTTACCAGCCTCATCTTTATCTCAGGTAGAACTATTCACCTGGCCGGGTAAGTGCCCAGAAAATAAATTCCTTGAAATCAGGAGTTAGTCTGATTCTTTCCTGGTTTATTGTCAAGCCTAGGGCCCAGGTAACACATTAATAGTTCCTTAGGCAATGTCTCCTGGACAAATGAGTGAATAAGGTCAGGGCAGAAGGCAGAGTTTCTTAGGTCATGAATGTTAGCACATAGCCTTGGGCAACTAACATAGGAGCCCATCTAGAATGGAATAGGAGGACAGGATGAAGTTTAGGGTAGCAAGTCACCAGAACCTGTATCTTATTTCAGGGACAAGAGGAGAAAGACAACAAAAGAATAATAGAAACACACATGGAATTCAGTTTCAGCCCCTATCCCAAAGATTTCCTAAAACTAAAACAAACTAAAATCATTATATTTAAACTAATAATTTCTATATATCTGTAATCTCTAAAGGAAAGGTTACTCTTGGGATCTGAATCAGTGGCTGGAAGATCAAGTGGAAGAAATATCTCAAACCAGAACAAAAATTAAAATTGTGAAGAAAGAGATAAGCAACTTGGGTCAGAGATCATGAAGACCTAACATGGACATAGGAGTTCTAGAGAGACAAGACAAAGAAATTGAGGAAAAGCAACAGTAAAACAAATGCTAGAGGAAAAGTCTTTGAGCTGCAGAAAGACAAGTTTACAGACTGAAAGGCAAAAGAAATGAGAAAAGACACACAGGCCTATCTTCAAAAAGTTCCTGAACCTCAAAGGTAAGAGAATATCGTAAAGTCATTTAACAGGAAAGATACTTACAAAAGAAAAGAATGAGATTGGCCTCAGGTTTCCCATGTGTAGCACTAGAACAACAGAAAATGCAGGAACAGTGTCTACAGACAACTGAGAGGAGTGAGCACACCCCAGGGAGTCCACACCCAGCCATAGTGCTATTCACTTGGCACAGGAAAGAAACCCACGGACACGCAAAGAGTCAGAGAATATGTCACCCGCATTTTCTCAAATGTTATGCAAAGTAAATAAAGAGTTCTAAACAAGTAATAAATGAATCAGAACAGAGACAGCAAGACAGAGGAAAATGAAGAGAGGAAAGAATGATAGAAGGTAACCTGCCTAGTACAAATAGTACACTCCAAATGGACAGGGTTATAGGGCCAAGTACGGATTATTGCAGAAAGAAGACGCATAATGCAAGGAGAAAAATTAAGAATGTTGAGTAATCTCCATAAAATTGAGGGTGGGAGATGGTTGGAGAAGTACAAGTGTTTTAGGACTATGCACTGGGGAGGGGAAGAGTGGAAGAATTACAGAAGCTTTAGCTCCTTAGGGTGGGGAAGGAGCACTGGAGAAATGGGGTGTCACGTGAGGGTAAGCCATTCCACATTTTATTTTTATGTAACAATATAGAAGTGGACTTTTAATCACGAGTGTTGGAAAATAGGCAGTAACCACCTGTGGAAGAGAAAACCTGAATGTTCAATTCTTCATATTTAGATGCTTCCAGTGTCCAGATTGTCCATGTTTTGACTTTAAAACCCCACCCATGTGAAGCTCCTCTCTTCTGTGTAAGGCTGTAGGTACTCATCAGATGATAGCTCTGCATGGAGGGGGCCTTCACTTCCTAGCACATGACTTCAACTTACCCCCTCCCTCTCCCCCGCCCCAGTCCATGTCTGCCTGGGAGCCGCTCAGCAACTTCAATTCCACAGCATCTATTATTTACTTAAACATGCCAAGAATATCATCCCTTGTTTACCTTCCCCAAGCACTCTGTTTTCGGTTTATGCCAACAGCATGTAAAACACACTCCTTACTTCTACCTTTGGCAATCTTATCACCAACTTCTTTTAATATTGCACAATGGATAGTTTTGGAGATTTGGGTAGAGAGAGAAAATCAGGCTCAGGGATAGGGAGTTACAGGTGTGTTTGATTCGATACAGGTGCCAGAAGAGGCAAAGAAGGTGAGCGCTGTGCTGATTGCCCCAGAGTTGAAACCACAGGTGTCCAAGCAAAAGCATTTCCGCCTGGAGCTGGGCTAGTCACCGCTGGGGGACTTCGCTTCTTCAGGGTTTTTCATCCTCAGGTAGTAGATGCGGTTGGCCTCCGGGTAGGTGACCTTGCTGAGTGGGAGCTTGTAGATGGCAGGATTGTTAGTCGTCAGGAGCAGGAAGATAAGGGAAGAGAGGCAGAAGGCCCAGGTGCCTAGTGGCACACCAACCTAGAAATAAAAGCATTGGAGCCTGAAGAATGTTTCTGGGCTCCTGTTTTGAGCCTGAGACCTGGGGAGAAGGGTATGGAAGGGGCTGAAGACGGGGATCCTCCTTCAGCTGAGGCATTGTGTTCCAGGGCTTGGAATGTTGGGGTAAATCGTCAAGAAATTTGAGGTGTTGATAACTTTGTGTACAAAAAAATCTTTCAATTTCAGAGCTGAAAATTGGCCTAAGGATGGTCTCCCACATCTGCTCCTACAGCTCCATCTGTCCCTCTTCTCTGGGTGAACCCTGGATAAATTTGGCAGAAACATTGGGTAATATACCAGATACTATAACTCACTCAATTCTTCCACAGGATCCCAAGTGTCTGGAAGCCCTAGTAGGGGAGCCGTACTTAGGGCAGTGTTCAGGAGGATACAAACTTACCACCGCCAACATGTTGGAGAGGGCTCCTCCCATGTACGCACAGAAGAGGGCTGTGGAGAAGGAGGACCATCAGACTCAAGTTTCCAGAGCCTACCCTTGCTCCCAGCCACTGTCCTGATAAAACAGGGAGCACAGACCAAGGGCAAGGAACCTGTGCACTTTCCTGCAGCTATGGGGTCTGTACCATGCCCCGACATTAGGCAGTTTGTCTGACATTGTTTGTCTTCACAGTTGTCTCCTACCAGACTGTGCATTTCTTTGAGAGCAGAGATTAAAGCTTGTGTTTGCTTCTTTTCCTTTCCCACATCCATAGTGGCTTTGCATAGGGCTAGGACTACACAGACTTTTCTGGCTTATTCCCATTAATTTGGGTGATGGGCTAGAACAGGCACATAACCTTAGCAGTGGGTGGGGAATAGCCAATGATGTGGTTGTCACTTTCCCAAATACTTACTGCAGGCAAGGGCCAGCAGGTGGGTCTGCCAGGTGAGCGCATAGAACATGCCCCCGATGGCGATGCAGGAGAGGACACAATTATAGCCCCAGAGGCCCGCGTAGATTGTCTCGAAGGGTGTGGCCACCGTTAGGGCTGTGAAACAAAGTGTGACATTTATTCTGGACCATGGGAAAAAGGCCACCTCATGGCTGGTGCCAGGTCTGAGGGTGCCTTCCCTCCTGTAGTGCACCCCATTACTTAACCCTGCCTGTTACAGAAGCCTCTGCAAGTGGACCCAGGCTTAGAGAATTGACAGTGAGAAGGAAGCAGTGGTCTCCAAAGCCCAAGTCTTCACACAGAGGTTACTGCTTCTAGATGACGCGAAGCCCAAAGGGGGCTCCAGGCATCCCCTGCTCCTTCAGCCAGAGCAGTGGCATTTTTAGCAAGAAAAATTTTCAACTAAAAGGTCCTGTTTCAAATGGCACACAAAAATTCTCTATCTGCCCAGATCTACATAGACAGAGAGATGTTATGGTCAAGAGGGAGGATGTGAACAATATGATGAATCTAGGTAGAGAATTAATATATACCTCTTGTATTTACTTTTGTAATTTTTCAGTGTGTTTGAAATTATTTCTAGTTTAGAAAACAATTTAAAGTTGTGCTTTCAAAAGCCTTTGAAGAGAATTTGAGTAAATAAAAAAAAAAAAACCAGACTGCTACTTCAAAGCCCTCTATGTCATTTTGGGGCTGTATAGCCGGGAAGAGCATATCCATATATAAATGTGTGTACATACATGTACACATATGGAGAAATGTGAAACTGCACTTGTGAAATGCCAACCCAGGTTGGAGGAAGTCTTTTCCTTTTAGCTTCTTTAAAAATTCAATGTGCTGAGCCATGTATACTTCAGCATGGGCAATTCCTTCCCCTCTCCCCCACCCGGTTACTCTCCTCCACCTTCAGCTGAAGGGCTAAAGGGTACCCAGAATGCTTGCATCTCTCAGTATGTCCTGCTCCTGCAGCCTGCTCTCATTGGAGGCTCAAGAAAAGGAAAAATAAGTCCCTAGCCCCAACAGTGTTTTGAAACTCTAGCAAAGGGAATACATCTAGGATAGTTGCCGTGTATGGGGGAGAAATGACTCAGGACCGCCATCCCAACCACTTCCCTGCAGAGCGGGATTTCTGTCCTACCTGCCAGCATCCCCACAATTGACCCAATGGCCGCATGCAAGCAGATGAGTGGTGAGCAGATGAACAGAGCCACCAAGATCAGGCCACCAGTCCAGGGATTGTCACAGCCGTATACCTGGCCCACTCCGACAGGGATGGCTTGTAACAACTGCAAAGTCAACAGAATCCAAGTCATCGGAGTGTAAGTTGATAATACAAAGACCAGCCTCAGGTCCAGGACTGAATCATTGCTGGAGACACTAATGAGGTGGAACGGAAGGGTGACACTGCCCTCCAGTGTAAGAGAAGAAGGGGAAGGCATAAGTGGAACAAATAATTCCTCATCCCCCACCTACCAGGCATCTAGCATCCCTCATGCAGTTGGTGGGGCCAAACATGGTGGCTGGGCACAGGTGCTTCTGAGGAACATAGGGTTTACCTTTGAGAGGGGAAGCTTTGAAGAGCCCAGAGTGCTTCTCCTCTCTACGCTGCTTTTGGGGGTTTCAGAGCACTAGAAGATTTGCTCTGGACTTCCTCTAAATTTCTAGAAATTCTAGAAATATTCAAGGCCATTGTGATGGATGATTTTACCAAACGCAGCTAGGCTAAATTCTCTAAGATCGACCCCTCAAGCCTAAGGTCTCTACTACTCTCGGTGTCCCTCCACCACTGACACATCCCTGTTGGTGGGTGCTGTCTTTTCATAACCTCAGTGTTGCCCTGGAGCTTGTGGGCCTCTGGGAAGAAGAAGGCATTTTCCGTGCTTTTGAGGATCACTTAGCATTATGGAAGCACCCTGTGTGGAACATTTGGAAGATGGCATGAAGCCAGAACATCACTGAGCCTCAGAGAGACTCGGTCGTGCTGGACTTGGGGAGGATTGACTTGGGAGTGATGTCAGATGGTCTTTCTTGGCCTGGGTGAATTGTCCATACTTTACAGACCTTGAAGGGCAAAGAGCAAGAAAAGTAGAATTGTGAGAGCCCTGGGCTGTGAGTTCAGGGCTCCGGTGTTGAGGGAGGTTCTGTACAGTTTAGCTGTGTGACCATGAACACACCACTTCCTCATCCACACTACAGTGCCCTCCTCTGCAACACAAGGCACCTGGTCTACCTTTAAAATTGTGTAGTTTTTTCCTCCTTTACTGAGGCATATGACTCTTCAGAGAATAGGGCTCTTTATAGCTGGATATACAATAAATGCTTAATAAACATATATTGATTTACCCTGTGGTTACTCAACCCTGTTGTATATTGAAATCCTATAGGGATCTTTAGAAAACCTACTAATGTCCGGCTCTTCCACACACAATCTAATCTGACAGGCATGGGGCATCTCTCTGGGCTTAGGTGAATCTGATGCAGAACAGTTTGGGGGCCACTGGAGGAGGTATAAATAGTCAGCTGTAGATATGGGGAGCTAACTACATTTCCTCCCTTAGATGAGGTTTTGTTCTTTGTAACAGCTTGATTTTATTCTGGTGTGATTTCTTTAGGGAACAGTGTTTGAGGATTCCCAGGATGCTTTCTAGCTTTGCTCACCTTTGTCTCCAAATGGGTGACATTTTAATAACCACACACTATTAGGACCAGAGTCTACAAACTTGTGAAAGGAAAGACAGGGTAGAGCCCAGTATTATTTATAGGAATCCAGAAAACACTTTGTACCAGACTAGGGAACTCAGCTTATGGGGAACAGGCTGGAAATCCACTCAACAAATACCTCATGATTTGCCAACATCTCAGGAATGTGGAATGCTAAGGGGAGTCAAGCTTCCACCTGTCCATCCAGGAACATGGGCTGTGAGACCAAGCAGGCAAGAATGAGAGGAATGAGGGAACAAGTGGCCTTGGAATGGAGCCTGGCTTCAGAATGAAGCTCCTTTGCCGGGATCCATATTTTTGTCTGGTGAACTGTGTGCTGGGGTGACAGGTGGCAGCTGACACCCCAGGGTGAAGGGCAGTCAGGTGTGTGGTGGAAATTTACTGAGTACCCTGCTTCCTCTGAGCTCCTTATGGTTCCCAGGATAAACAACAAGCTGGCTAACAAAGAGGAACTACCTCCACTTGTCTTAGTGAAAGAGCAAAATGGCACCGATTTTTCAAAACTCAGATCTAGATAGTGTGCAAGAAAATCATGCTAGTTGTCTGAATGCTGGCTGGTGGGGAGGGGACAGAGTGAGCTTGAGGTACCCAGATCTGGGTCCAGCCACTTTCCCATTGTTTGTTTTGAAGATGAACAAGAGGCATCTCTTCTCTGGGACCCATACCACACTGGCTCCTGAGCACTGGGTTGTCCACCCTCACAATGTGGGCTGTGGTCTTGGTGAACCTCTGTCTCTGGTCATGCTACATGTGGCTACCACTTGGACAGTGCCCTTTGGGTGGAGATCAAAGACAGCTGGTCTGTGCACCCAAGTCAATTTGCCTAGTTGCCACAGGACTGATCCTTGATGATTCTGTCAAAGTTTTTCTTTATTCTTTCCCTAGCCATTTTCCACCTGAGAGAGGGGGTCTGTCTTTTCTAGTCCTTTGAGTTTAGGCCTTAACCCTGCCTCTGACCCCACTCTAGCCCAGCCCTCATCCTCAGGCAAAATTTAAAAAGACAAAAACCTTTAGCAAGCATTTGCACTGTTTGCAGTGGCATTTTCACCCGAAGTGGAGGAACATTTCCTTTTCTGACAGGTTTAGAGTTACAACTTGGTTTCCTTGAAGGATCCCCGAGTGGGGGTTCTGGAGCTAATTACCCACAAAAAGCCACCCCAAGATCCAGATACACATGGACAACCAGTGGGGCTGGGTGGCCAGGGCTCAAAAGTCCTTTCAGACAAATAATAGTTAAGGATGTGGGATAGGTTATCAAATTTTCACAAGATAGACACAGAAGTGGTATTCTGTGTTACACTGAAAAGCAGAGCTAATGCAAAGGGTGAAAGACAAAGGGGAATGGGTTTCCCAGGCATGCAAAGAGAACTCCAATGCTTAGAATTACCTACTGATGTGGTTCGCTGCCTTGAAATTAGTGATTTTCATCTCACTGGGATTGTTCAAACTTAGGGTACAGGTTCTGCCTTAGACTAGATGGTGATGGTTCAAAGTTTAGTCGCCCAGGTATTAAGCACAGGTATTAGCTACAGATTGATCTCGGGCAGTGGTGGCAAACCTTTTAGAGCTTTCAATGCAACAAACAGCCCAGTGCAGCATATGTACAAGTGGTTTATCACCACTGATCTAGGGCAACTAATTCTTTCTGTGTCTTAGTTTTCTTATCTGTAAAATGGGGTAATGGTAGTGAAATGGGCTAATATAATAAGGGCTTGGAACATGGTCTTTTATAAGCTTGATTTAATTTTAGCTGTTAGCTATTTCTACATTTGTTATGAAGGCCAAGATAATTCTATAAACTTCATCTTACATTAGATCTTTCTTACATTCTTTTATTCTCAATATCTACAGGTCAGTAGAATAAATAAATATGCACATTTTTGATAGTAGAATATAGGGCAGAGTTTCTCAACTTTGACTCAATTGGCATTTTAGACCATATAAGTCTTTTCTTGTGGCACAAGGAACCTGTCCCATACACTGGAGGACGTTTGGGAGCTTGTCTGCCTTCCACTCACTAGATACAGATAACACCTCTCTAGTTTTAACATTAAAAGTTATCTCAAGATGTTGCCTAATGTCTACAAGGAGCAATATCTCTTTTGCTTGAAAACAAGAGTATGTGAAAATTCACCTTCTGTCTTCTATTGATACATTAAAATCTTAATTTTAAACATTTATTTTACTCTCTTGCCCCTTTATCAAATTGTTCACATTATCTAATATTTTTCTGCAAGTGTCAAATTAGCACCTGGTATCAGTTCACTTGCATGGTGTCTGGTGTCCTACATAAAAGTAAGTTTCATGAGGGCAGGGATAGAGTTGTCTTAGTCCCAGCATGTTGTCAGCAATGAAAATGTGTCCAGCAGATTTTAGATGGTTGGTAGACATTTGTTGAGAGGAGGTATGGACGTAGCAGTAACCCTTTCTGGCCTCTGCTGGAGCCCATCATTTGGTAGAGAGGTGTCTAGTGAAACCAAGAGCCTTGGTAATCTACAAGCTGGTTAGTGAGACTGTAAGGGAATCCAGTGGAGCCTAGTGGCCTCAACTCATCACCATTAGGTTACTTACCAAGGGCATTTCAATCTCTGTCCAAGTGATATTCGGTACTGAAGATACAGGCTCCACCAGTGTTGCAGGGAAGAAGAGGTTGTAATGGCCTGTGGCTGCCAGGTACAGGGTCAGTGTAACATTGAAGGGCAGTGTGAAGACTGGTAAGTCCCACTTACTGAGAATGGAATTCAAGGCACTAGAAACAACCGGGCTGAAGACAGAGAGACAAAGGGTCAATTACTTAGGCTTTTATTTATGTATTTATTTTTTGGTGCTGGGATCGAACTCAGGACCTTGTGCTTGCCAGGCAAGAACTTGTGCCACTGAGCTGTATCCCCGGCCCTACACTTAGGCTGAACTTAGGTAGACACCACCTGTCTTGTCAATGGTGGCCGCTGTACCACCCGCCATCCCTCTCCTTGTCGTATTTATTTCTGGCTTCCTTGAGAGTCCAGGGGTCCTCTGATTTGGGATTGGAAATAAGATGTTCAATATAAGCTTATACCTTTGAGAAACAAATGTAAAAAATATAACATTTGGTAAAGAATACTATATGAAATTTGAGGTACGATCACAAAATATGGTGATTGCTGAAATTTTAAAAATGATTACAGTAAAAGACACATTGCCATTAATTCGCATCAATACATTCACCTTTACTTAAAACACTTAACCCATCATCCCTGTCACTTTCTGAAGCAGTCTTGGAAGTTCCTGTTCATGTCTTTGGTTGTGCTGCCACGATTGCTTTGATGTCATGAATTACTTCAAAGTGCTTACCTTTCATGATCATTTTAACTTGGGGAAGAGCCAGAAGTTGCACGGTGCTAGATCCAGTGAATAAGGACACACTGGAGTATTTTTATTTGACAGAAACTGCCAAAAACATTTTGAATCAATTCAGGATATTGAGGCAGCTTTCATGAAAAAGAACTTCTAGACCTGTTTCAGAAAGTGGCAAGAATGGTGGGATAAATGTATTCAAGGCAAGAGGGAGTATTTTGAAGGGCCTTAACAGCAATGTGTCTTTTATTGTTATGAAATTTTAATTTAAACATTCACTGTATCATTTGATCACACCTTGCAATTTAAATATTTCTTTGTTTCTTAAATTGAGAAAAGTAATTAAAATGTGATTATTACAAGATGAAATTATTGCCTTTGGGCTGTTAAGACATATGACAGCTACCGTCCCTGGCTATGAGAACATGTTAGAAGTAGAGCCTTCTAGGAGGAGGCTGCCATGCCATGCAGGTCATGTCCAGGCTTTGGCTGAGCAAAGACACTAAGTGTTACTCTGGGAACAGGCAGGAGAAAATGGAACTTCAGTTGTTTGTACCCTGTGTCTTTTAACCTCTTCCTTGGAAAGAGCATGAATTTTGGATACAGATGGAGCTGAATGCCAGCCATAACTCCTCTACTTTCTAGCTGAGTGAGTAATGTTAGGTAATTAATGTCTCTTAGTCTCAGGTTCCTTTCAAAGGGATCAACCACCCTAGATACCTAACACTTCACATAACACTAATTAAAGGTAGACCAGTTGGCTAAACATGAAATCACATGAGCTGGCCAACTGGTCTACCTTTAATTAATGACCGTGAATCTCAAGTGGGCATTTAGAACTGTCTGCAAACACTACAGCACATCCCCAGCACATTAAGTCTCCAAGATGCTGAAAACCATTTCATATTTTTACCTTTCTCTTCAAATCTTTACTGTGTGCTTCCCTTTTATTTCAGCCAACAAGCAGGCTTTACTTCATTAAAAAAATAGAAGTGACAAGATGAGAAATGTTTCATTTTCCTGATTATAAAAATCCACACCTTTTCTGCTTTGTTTCTACACACTTTGCCTCTCTACCACTTTCATTTGATGGAAACATCCCTGCTCCTTCATTAATTAATTCTTTTCTCTGATCTTTGGATCTGATTAGTCTCAAGGACTTCAATTTTGTAATATTCCCTTTCTTGTTTTCATCCCTCCTTTTTCTCCACCCCATTCTTATCTGTCTATAATATGCTTTAATATCTCCTACCTTTAAAAATCCCACCCTTTAACCATGTGTCAATTCTAGTGACTTCCCCATTTTCTTTTTTTTCTTTTTTTTTTTTTTTACTATTCTTTATTGCAATACTTCTCAAAAGGGCTGGAAATCAGCTGGATGAGATGGGCATGTCTGTAGTCCCAACACTCTGGGAGACTGAGGCAGGAGAACTGCAAATTCAAGCCCAGCCTGAGCAATTTAGTAACTTAGTGAGAACTTGTCTCAAAAAATTGAAAAACTTAAAGGGCTGTGGATGTAACTTAGTGTGAAGTTCCTGGGTTCAGTCCTCAGTAACACACACACACACACACACACACACACACACACACAGTGTCAATCTTTTTTATCCCAAGCTTTCTTTCTTTCTTTCTTTCTTTTTTGGTACTGGGAACTGAACTCAGGACCTTGTGCTTGTCAAGTGGGCACTGTGCTGCTGAGCTACATCCCCAGCCCTATCCCAAGCTTTTTGCTACAAGTCATTCCTAAACTTGCTCCTGCCAGGTGTGTGTTCTCATTACATCACAGAAATAGCTTTGTCCAGTTCACCAGTGAACCACTAACACCAATTTTGGCATGTCTGTGGTCATTCCTTGTCTTCCTAAGGTTGGGCTCTCTCTCTGCCTAGGTGGGCTATTGTGACATTGGACTTTCTTGGTTTTCTTTCTGCCTGTCCCTTTTTTACTCTCCTTTGCTGACATTTCCCCTCTTCTGCAGACATCCAAATGTTGGAAAACCCTACAACTCTAGCATGATTCTTCTCTTTATTTTAATCTTCCCCTTTGAGTGATAGTCTTTAGTTTCCTGGATGAAATACTTTCTACGTGCTCCTGCCTTTCAAATCTTGACTCTATCCCTAACTTCAAAATTTGTACATCCTGTTATTTTTCTTTAACATTTCTTTCTTTCTTTTCTTTTTTTTTTTTTTTTTTTTGCGGTACCTGGGATTGAACTCACGACCTTGCGCTTGCCAGGCAGGCGCTTATGCCACTGAGCTATATCCCCAGCCCCTATCCTGTTATTTTTCAACATCTCTACTTGGAAGTCTAACATGTAATGTATCTCAATAGAAGTCATTGCAGCCCATCTCTGCCTCCAACATATTTTTCTTTTCTTTGTAGCTCAGGTGCTTATTATGGGAATGTACTGAACTTTCTTTCCTTCTCCTCCTTCATATCCTCAGCCACTCAGAAAGTCCTGTTGCCTCTATCTTTCTCAAAATATACACCATAACCATAGATGTCTTCTTATCAGTTAAGTGACAGCTCAGATATCCCATTTGTAAAGTGATCTTCCCTGATCACTCAGGCCTGGAATCAGTCTTAGTACTACTGATACCATTTGGTCTTTCTGAAGGCGTTTATCATATCTCAAAATGACCTCCTTTTATTAGCTAGTGTATGAGTTTTATGTCTATCTCTACCAAGAATGTAAGCTTCAGGAGAATAGAGCTCTTTCCCTGTTCACAACTATTCTCAACATTTAGAATAGTCTGTATACTCAACAAAAGTCCCAGGCACTTAAATCTTTGTTTACTGGATAAATCTGGAAAATGGTCCTGCAAATACCCACACTGCCTGGATTGCATTTCAAAGACTACATGAATGGACTAATGACTGTATTGAGTGGTGGCAAGAGCTCTGCCTAGGTCAAGGTGTCAACGGTTTCTGTCTTTTAAACTGGAAAATGGCATGGGGCACTGAGTCTTTCACCCAGTGCCGTGTGGCTGAGACAGTGTGCTGATGGGTTTAATCTAAGTAGTTATAAACCAAATGTATGCAAAGGAGGACAAGTTCTGCTCCTTACAGGGAATGTGTGTTTGGGTAGCATTAAAGCCACAGAAATGATGTCCTTACCTTTTTGTCCCAGAGGATGAAGAAAGAAAGAAACCCAAGAGGAACTATAAAATACTGAATACTTAATGTGGTAATTTATTTGCAGGCACTACTAAAAAGTAAGGAAATAGTACGTAAGCTAAATTAGTAACTCCAGACTTTGAAACCAAAGAGACATTTACTTCTTAGTGATGTTAAAAATAAATCACCATATCTGATTTACTGCTGAGCACAGGAATGAATCACCGTATCTGAGCTGTATTGAGAACAGTGTATGTACCTGTGCAGTCGGGGGCTGTGCAAGGGTTCCCTAGGAAGCAGGCTCTTGGACAAGCTATTGACCTGCTGTAAAATCACATGAACTAAGGACCACATTGTGAGCACTCACACATTTTCAGTGACCTCAATGAATATTTGTTATTAGCTGCCTTCATTCTTGAGTAAGAACTCAACTAATGCTTCCAGTTCAAAGATTCTATGTTTTACATATAGACCTCTGTTCAAGAGGGCCCTCTGATTCCATCACAGGAAAGTTTTCAACTTTTAGGTTCTAGTTACGCCACACAATAAATGATTCCCATGAAGCCTGGGGCTTAATTGCGCAGGTTCTGCATTCAGAAAGCCAGCACCAAAACTTGAGACTCCCATGCAAAGCTAAGTAAATCAGACTCAGAAAGTTAAATATTGCATGTTTTCTCTTATATGAGCAACCTAAAATATAAATAAATGAGTTAAATATAGGAAAGATGATAGGAAAAGAGAAGGTAGACTCTGGAGATGGGGAAGGGGATCAAGGGAGGAGGAAAGAAAGGGCAGGTAAAGGAACTGAAAATGAGCAAGATCTGTTATAGGCATGGACCAACTCCCCCAGTCAAATATCACTAGTGTGTATTACAAACTTGCATTAGTAAAAAAAAATAAAGAAGAAAATGCAACAAAAATATAGAATATAATAAACCAGCTCATTTTTTGGCCCAGAATTTTCCCTGTATCATATGCACTAGTTTCTTTCTCTTGTTTCCATAATGAAAAAGAAAACACAGTCTAAAAAGCTTTATACAGTATGACCTGGGGCAAGTTAATCTTTGTATACCTCAGTCTTTCCTTCTGTAAACTGAAAACTAACATAACCTTACCTTGCTTCCACTGTTCTTGGCTTATAGGAACTACTTAGTACATTTTGCCTTTATTATTAAATCTACCACCCAAAGACAATTATCTACCCCATACAAATTTGGGGTCTTTTGGGCTTTCATGGTATCTTACTACTCAAGATGGCCCCTCTATGCAGACACTGGACCCCACAGCACAAGCATCTTGGGGTCCTGTGAATCTGTAAGAAAGAGGTGCCTTACCAGGCCATGGTTGTGAAGACCACAGGAAACAGAAGCCACCAGTAGTAGTCTAACTTCTCAGAGGACAAGGCCACCAGCAATCCCACCAGCATGCCGTTGTAGCCATAGAGTCCCGAGGCGATGGCTGACCTGGAGGTGAGACGGTTACTTTGCATTGGAATTTGGTGGCACCTGTTGGGCCTGCCCCACTGGGATTAATTTAGATGACTTGTATAATTAAGATAATTCATTCACTAATACTATAAAAAAGTGCCCTGCATGAGTATTGAGCAGTCACATAGCTACACATGCACACATACATGCAGATACACTTGATTACTTTTGCTGATGTAGAATTAAACAAATTATGCATTCTTATCTGTGGCTAAGCTGTTTGCTTTTGCTTTTCAGGGGCATTTCAGACTGTGAAATATAGGGAAATCTCATAGAAATCTCAATGTGTGACACAGGGTATGGGTGTGTGTGTATGGGTGTGCGTGTATGGGTGTGTGAAAGGCAAGGGAGGGGGGAGAGAGAGGAGGGGGAGGCAGCGAGGGAGAGGGAGTGTTCTTATATTGCACTATGTGTGGTTCTCCACGGCTGAAGTTGGGTTGCTTTCCCTTTCTGTGCATCTGTGCCCATGCAGGCCCACTGAATGCACTTAGGATGCCCATGTGCCCATCCTCATGTTTCAGTCAGGAGTGCCAGAAGTGTGTAGAGTCAAACTTGGGCCTATTGTGTCGGACTGTTTCAGAGGAGAAACCTGTGTCCACTAAACCGGTGTCCCTGGTCCCGATCAACACTGCCTTGAGTCACCTTTCCCATAGCTCTGCTGGGAGAGGAGAGTAGGAGGGATTGGGGAGGGGTTAGGAAGTGCACCAGGCAAATCTACTGCCAGGTCCCTACCAGAGAATGAGCTTCATGTGCTTGAAGTCTGTCATCCTGTACTGGCCTGTACATTGGTGTGTGTGTGGGTGGAGCCCGTCTGTGTTCACTGTGGTACCCTGGGCCCCATCATCAGCAATGTTCCCATGGAACAAGGCATGATGGTACTTTTTAAATTTTTGGAGAGAAACCCACTGTCAGGAATACATTTTATATTATGAGCTAGTTCTCTCCTACTACACCCCAACATAAACAAAATTTCACAAAATCATATTTAGCTTTACTGCACATGGATTGCTCTGGGTGGCTTTGTTTTATCCTATTGTTTAAATATTTTAAAATGCTGTTGACATTTGATTTATGATCTGCAAGCCTCCACAATGAAAAACGGTAACATATGGGATTATCTAGTTTCTATTTCTTAAACGTCTTTGACCATCAGAAGCTTCTGAGAGAACCTTGTTAAAAATACCCCCAGATTCACCAAGTGGGAATATCTACAGGAGGGAGAGGGAGAAGTTGGGCTGAAACTATATCCCACCCCCTTTTTATTTTGCAATACTGGGGATTGAACCCAGGGCCTTCCAACTGAACTGCATCCCCTTTTATCTTAATTTTATTTTTGAGACAAGCTCTCCTAAAGTCACTAAATTGCCCAGGCTGGGGTCTAACTTATGATCCTTCTGCCTCAGAGTCCCAGAATCCTGGGATTATAAGCATGTGCCATTATGTCCAGTTTTAAACTATATTTCTTAGGGGACTCTATCAGGGAAATCTGGGGACTGTTGGAATAATACATAGCAAAGTCTGAAGAAATTTTGAGTTCTGCAAAGTGCTAGTTGTTACTATTACTTGATTTTGCACTGACCGGTGCCTGGGTTCCAGCAGAGCTGGCCCCTCCCCTAATCAGAGCAGTTCATTTCCATGAGGATCATCAGTGACCTGCTTAAAATTGGCACTCAGGAGACTGGCTGGCTGCTAGGCTAAGACTGGCTGACCGCTAGGCTAAGGCTGGCTGATCTGTCAAGTAAAAGCTTCACCTCATGTGTCTTGCCAAGAGATCTGTAGAGAGGAACTCACCTGTCCTGGCTTAAGGCAAGAGCAGTTAAGGTTGAGACCCCTGTCCCCAGAACCCCAGTAATTGTCCACCAGGGATTCTGGATCAGAAGCCCTATGATGATGATGAAGCCGCTGAGAGGGTTGTTGACGAACATGACCTGAGCAGTTCCTCTGAGGATCCAGTCTATGAACTGCACGGCCAGGGGCTTATCTGCAAGAGACAGACAGAGCCATCAACAGGGTTCTGCCTGCTGCCCTGCTGGACCACTGCTTGGCATTGCAAGCCAGGCACATGGGGATGCATGAGCTGGGATATTACTTCTCATCTAGCCTGGGCAGGGTCGGGGGTGGTGGTACCCAGTTCGAGTATCTGAGTGGCCCAGCAATCAGTCTGCAGTGGGTGGTACTTTTTGCTATACAGACTGAAGCACCATGCTGAGACCAATTTAACTCAGTTCCAGCTATTGGGTCGGTTGGTAAGGCAGCCCCAGGAGAATTCCAAGGGAAATTTATTGGTGTAAGGGAAGGAGTAGGGAGGGAAGGAAATTCTTTTTGTGTAGTGCTGTATGACTCACTTGAAGGCTGGGGTCTGAATAGCAAAGAAAGTAGCCTGAAGAAAGGAAACTGGAAAAGAAATCATTTTAGCCCAGCTGTGAAAATCATTATTGAATCAGGGCCCAGAGGAAGTCAGGTGTAGAAGAAGAGACATACATTCTGCCTCTTCCTTTAGTTTGGTTTCCAGGACAACCTGTGCCGTTTGGGGTGAGTTGGGGCAGGTGGGGGTGGTGGTTGTTTAGTTCAGGAGAAAGTTAGAAGGAGAGAACTCTGAAACCTCAGGGAGGGTGATGGCAATATATTCTTGGCACATAATAAATGGCTGTGGAACAAATGAAGGAATGACCATTCAGCATATTTGGGAAAGGGCTTTTATGCTGCTCATGTGGTTGTCTTATATCTATTCCACATGGGAATGGACAGCTTACGAAGGACTAAGATCAGTGAAATGCATTTAACTCTACAACTGCGGGAATTCCAGGTTAATGGGATATGTTATGCTCGCCTGGAGTCAGCTTAGGGCTGGGCCCCACGCCCCTCCCCACCCCGTCTGCAGAAGCCCTTATCAAGGAGGAGAGAGGAAGTAGTGGAGGGAGGGCTTACTCTTGCCTGGCCCCGGCTTCTTTCCTGGACTTCTGCTTACCTTTCAGCCAGTTCTTGCACTCTTTCATCTCACCCGTGAGGTAGCCCACCGCGTGGAAGAGGCTGAAGCCTCCCCGGCCTGCAGAGCCCCGGCGGGGCATCTCACTTTCTCTCCTTTTACTCCTTTCATTGGGCTTTTCAATTTTCACAATGTGGCTATCTTCATCAGATGATCGGAGATCCTTCCAAGAAAAGCCATGAGAAGATATCAAATAAGATACCTGTTTGGGAGTGGGAGCATCTGGGGATAGAGGAGGTTGCCAGGTCTTTTGACACAGATGAAGGATCATGGTACAAAGGGAGAGATATATGTCCACAATTTAAAGCTGTCCAGAGTACCATGTGTAATCCTGGCCTTCTGAGGATTACTGCATATTCTTCATAGCAGGGCTTCTTAAAATTTCATGTCATAGGTTCATTTTGGAAACTTAGGAGAATATTGCAGATGTATAAAATAAAAAAGATTACAAAGAAAACCAATTATACTGAAATATAATCATCACAATGTTTAAAAAATTGTGGTCTATATATGTGAACTAGATGTAATACATATTATAATTTAAAAGAGTAAACATATGGGACTACCTCACCCCAACTCAGGGTGATTCTGCAAGGCCATCCCGGCTGCACAGCTCACCATGGGATCCCCTGAAGCCTTTTTTGTGACTGCATGACAGCTCAATATCTCCTTTTTAGTCCTGTTGCTTTTGCTTCCCTGTAAGTGTTACTCCAAAGGCACACCCCAGTAATCTTCTTATTTACAAATCTCTATCTGAAAGTCAGATTCCTGGAGCCCAATCTAGGACAGTGATAGAAACGCAGGTGCTACTCATATGGCTATGGTTCATTGCTTAAATCTGTAATTGAAGCAAATGCTAAAGTCCATTGGAAGTTAGTGAAAACAAATATAAATGGGTTTTCCCTATCCAAGTTCATAATCCCCTCAATACGTGGACTCCTTGCCCTAAAGCTATGTGTTCATATGGTAGCCAAAAGGATGAGTAGCTACTGAGCACTTGAAAGGCATCCAGCCCTCAATAAATTAGGTACAGAAGAAAAATGACTCAACTTGATAAAGAATATCTACTAAAGACCTGTAACGAATGTCACGTTTACTGGTGAAAGACTGAATTCTTTTCCCTGTATAATTAAGACAAGCATGTCTATTCTGGCCATTTCTATTCAACATTATTCTAGAGTTTCTAGCCCATACACTGGGCAAGGAAAAGAAACAAAAGTAACCCAGACTGTAAAGAAAGAAGTTAACATATCTCAATTTGTAGATGGTATTTGTTTGTACTAGAAATTCTTAGGAAGCCTAAAAAAAAAGACCTATTAAAGGTAATGAATATGTTCAGCAAGGTTACAGGATAGAAGATCAATACTCAGAAGTCAATTTTGTTTCTTGTTGTGGATTGTGTGTAGATATCCCCCCAAAGCCTCATGTAGTCATGGGCATGGGCTTTTCAGAGGTGGCCGAATCTGGAGTCTGTGATGCTGGGATTAAGGGTTTGAGTGCTACCCTCGCCCTAGGGTGCATAGTTTCCATACAACATAAGGGTTAGAAAGAGTCTTGTCTTTCTCACTTGTTGCTTTTGCTGTCTTCCACCACCATGAGTGGTTGCCCCTCTGTCACATGTCACCCTGCTTAGAAGCCAGCTGATTATGGACTGAAACCACTATAAACTGTGAGCTAAATAAATCTTTCCACCATAAACTTTGGGTGTTGGGTTTTTTGTTTCAGCTATCAGAGAAAAGTGACAAAGACATTTCTATGTACCTGCAATAAACAATCTGAAAATAAAATTAAGAAAACCATTCTATTTATGATAGAATCAAAAAGAATAAACTATTAGGGAATAAACTGAATAATAGAAGTGCAAATCCCATACACCAAAAACTACAAAACACCACTGAAATAAATTAGAGACCTGTATAAATTGAAAGTTATCTTGTGTCAAAGAAAACTTAATCTTGTGAAAATAGCAGTATTCTCCAAATTGATCTTCAGTTCCCTTTCTCTCTAGAAATGGAAAATCTGGCCCTAAAATTCATATGAAAATGCAAGAATCCCAAGATAAACAAAGTATTTTTTTGAAAACTAACAAAATGGGAGGATTCACACTTTTTGATTTTAATACTTAGAGAGCAATATTAATCATACCTGTGTGGTACTATCATAAAAATAAAGGCATAAATCAGGACTTTGAATAGAGAGTCAAGAAATAACCCCAGATATCTATAGTCAATTAATTTTTTTTTGTCTTTGAGACAGGGTTTCACTATGCAACTCAGGCTGGCCTTGAGCTCACTTTGTAGCCCAGGCTGGTCTCAAACTCACAAAGATCTTCTTGCCTCAGTCTCCTGAGTGCTGGGTGTGTGCCACCATGCATGGCTTTGATTAATTTTTAGTAAAGGTGTGAAGCCAGTTCAATGGAGAAAGAGTGGTCTTTTCAACAAATGGTTTTGGGACAACTGGATTTCTACATGCAAAGATGAAAGGCGAATCTCTATGTTATACCATATACAAAGATTTACTCAAAATAAATAAAAGACCTAAATGAAAGTGCTAAAACTCTTAAACTATGGGCACAATCTTTACGACCTTGTAGAAGAAGATGGCTACTTATGATATGGCACCAAAAACATAAGCAATCAAAGAACGATTAGATGAACCAGATTTAATCAGTTTAAAAAACTTCAGCTTCAAAGAACACTGTCAAGGGAGTGACAAAACAACTTATGTAGCAGCAGAAATTATTTGCAAATAATATATTTGGTAAGTATACAGAATATATACAGTACTATAACAAAATAGGAAAAAGACAACTCAATTTTAAAAGTGGGCAAAGGAATTGAAAATGTATTTCCTCAAAGAGAATATATAAGTGGTCAATAAACACTTGAATCTCACTTATCATTAGGGAAATGCTAATCAAAATCACATTTTCACATCCATTTAGACTATAATAAAAAAGATACTAAGTCTTGCTGAAGATGTGGGCAAATTAAAACCTTATGTATTATTGGTGAGAATGCACACTGATGTAGCTGATTTGGGGAAACATTTAGCAGTTCTTTAAAATGCTAAGCATAGAGTTGTCACAGCACCCATAAATTCCATTCTTAAGTTTATACCCAAGGTGATATGAACATGTGTCCATACATGGACCTGTACATAAATGTTCATAGTACCATTATTTATAAAAGCCAAAAGGTGGGAACCATCTAAATCTCCAGCAACTCATGAATGCATAAGCAAGCTGTGGTATGTCCACACAGTGAAAGAATATTTGGTTGAAAACAGAATGAAATACTGATTCATCCTATAACATAGATGAACTTGAAGACACTGTGGTAAATGAAAGAAGCCAATCACAACAGGTCACAGATTATCACCTGATTCCATTTATATTAAACAATCTGGAATAAGTAAATGCACAGAAACAGAAAGAAAACAGCCTGGTGGTTGCCAGGGCTGGTGTAAGAATAGGATGGGGAATAACTGCTAGTGGACATGAGGTTTCTTTTGGGGTGATGTAAATATTCTGGAAGTAGATTGTGATAATGTTTGTGCAACTCTATAAATATATGTCAAACCACTTCAATGATACCTTACAATGACAAATTTTAGGCTATGTGAATTATATCTCATTTTAAAGCATCCTTGACAGTCTTGTGGTCCTGTCTACACAATTAGTAGCCAGTCAGCCCACCTCTGTGCTCCTAGGTTAATACAGTGCCAATGACCTGCATTTTAACAAAGGTTTTTCTTCTGGACATCATGGAGTGGCTCAAGAGAGCAAGTCCAAGGGCAGAGAGTTTAGAAACTGGTTGGAAGACTGGTGTGTCAGTATGTGCATTCTCTAATTGTTCTTAAAATCATAGCTCACTCAGAGCTAGGTTTTTTGATAAGACTAGGTAGGGCCAATCGCAGATGTGACCATGTACTGATTAGGGTGGAATCTCCCTGGGCAGTGGTGTTTTCTTGTGTACACTGAATCCATTGGCACGTTGGGAAAGCATCCTCCTCCACTTTCCTCCCCCTCCCAGCTTCCCACTTGGAAAACATCCCAGAGCAGACAGCGCTCACCTTTTCTTCGGGCATTTCCAGCAAGGGCAGGGCTGGGTGTGTATCTGGGGAACCTGAGGGCCAGGTAGGACTGCTTGGCTCTGACTCGTAGGGGGCGTATCTGCTTGAAAGGGTCTCTGGCAGGAGAGGACTGCTGTGGTTGTCAGACATCTCTTTCAGGGGGCGATCACTCATCGGTCATGTGACTGGCGGAGGGAAGAGAAACAACAGGTGAGTGAGGGCAGGGCCAAAGGGGCTTGGCTCAGCCTGAACTGGCACATCAGGAGGCTTCTGACCTGGGAGGTGAGCAGTGCCACTTGTGGGACTTCCTGTTGTGGTAGTTGTGCTGCCAGAGGGGCCTGGAACTATTCCTCACCCACATGAGCTTGACTTTTCCAAATACCCTCAGTTGTCCAGGCCCAGAAGGAAGTCCCCTCTTGCTGTAAAGAACCTCCTGACCACCGACTTAGAAATATCTTTTTTTCCTGACCACTGAAGAAAGACTTTTTCTACCTTCATGTCACCCACTGTGCCACCTTAATATGGATATATTTCCCCCTTGATGTATAACACATAGATCAGTACGACTGAGGGGCTCAAAGAAACTTTTCTAAGTTGCTATGAAGACTATTTTGTTTGCAGCTGACCACCAGTCTCCCTCCTCTCTCCTTTCTCTTCTGTGTACTTTCTAGTCCTTTCTCTGTTTTGCTACTTCAGAAAAGTACAAGGCTCTCATATGTTCTACCGGAAGCTGGGTGTATCCAGGCTGGAGGCGTTTTCCCCTCCAGGTGGGGCTCTCTGCCCTTCCCACTAGGGCCAGGACTTATGACCCAGCTTACTGTTGTTCTCGCTCAAGGTCTCCAGTTTTTCTTTTTTCTTTTTTTTCTGGTATCGGGAAGTGAACTCACGACCTCGCGCTTGCCAGGCAAGGAGCTGTGCCGCTCAGCTAAATCCCAAGCCCCTCCAGTTTTTCTTGTTTCATCTTTTTACCCCCTGGTAGGCTGTACTTTCCTCCTCATTTAGGTACTCCAGCCATTCTTCTTTGGTCCCCTCCAGCTCAGTTATGTCTTTATTTACTTTACTGTGTTTCTCAGAGGTGGTATAAAAAACTGTGGGCATCTCTCACTATGATCTCACATTTCCCCCTCTGTTTCACACTACCTGCCCTGAGTTATATAAAGTCTTTCTTAGGACAAGGATTGCAGATCCCCGATTTGGTGCGACAGTTCCTTACACTTACCATCATAGACTCTGCTAGAGATTGCAGAGGTCTCCTGTAGAGGGGATGAAGACCCCTTTCCATCCCTGCATTGGTACCGTTTCTTTGGGCTATTTTCTCTCCTCCTAGTAAAGGAGACTCTTGCTTTCCAGTTTTGCCTCTAGACCACCCACTCACCTTGCTTGTGCAGAAACCCTGTTCTCTGGGACTTACACTGGACAGTCCCTCCTCCCTAAGTGCTCACTGCCCTTACTGACTTTCTGGCCCCGGTCTCATTCAGGGATGGCTTTAGGCGCTCTACTCATCATCCTCACACCCACTCAATAATTCAAAGCAGCTTCAGTGTCCAGGCAGATAGCCCATCACCTTCTCCGGCTTCTCAGATCCCCATCCTCCTCATCCCCACCAACTCTTTCCAGCCACCAAAAGTCACAGCATAGATTTCACTAATAAGTTCTCAAAAGTCAGTTCTCTCCTCTGGCTACCACCCCCTGTAATTTCACTTTGTGTGCTCACGTGCCCTCTCTGATTTAGCCCTTTGACTTCTTGGAGACCTCTGATCCATTAGCTCCACCTGCTGCCTATCTTTTTTTTCCTTCCTTGACCAGATTAGAGTTCATTTTACTTCTTTCACCTCCCTTGCTCTTCTCTCCCTTCCTTGTGCTTGTGTGGTAAAATCTCAGCCAGGACAAACCCAGTGCCCTAACTTTCCCATGCTTTCCTCAAGCAATCAAGCATGACTACAGTTTCACAAGCAGAGCAGACTACTTTCACTGTATAATTGCCACCACAAACGAACACTTGGCACTTCTTCTCCTCTGATTAGCTCATCTCATTCTGGTTTCTGTTACCACTGCCTTTGCTGAAGTCTCTGAGACCCGAATGTTGGCGAATCAAACATTCTCCAACCCTCATCTCAGGAGACTGCTAAGTGCTGTTCTAAGAGCTGATCGTCCTTCCTTCACACAGCAGTTTTTCTTTATAGCTGATCTTTATCTGGCTGCTTCTTCACGTCCTCTTGGTTGGCGCTGCGTCCTGCACATACAAGCATCCCAGAGAGTTCTGCTCTGGACCACCTTCTCCTTCTTCGCTCATGCTCCTAGCCAGGCGGCCCCAGCAGTTACTGTGGCTTTATACTCCATCTGCATACCTATGACTCTCAAATCCAATATTTGCAGCCCAGTTTTGTCTACTTTACCTTTGTAAAGAGTCATTTGTCTACTTTACCTTTGCACATGGATGTTCCAAAAGTAGCTTTAAGTTAGGATGCTGAGAACTCATAATGTTTCCCCAATCTGCCTTCCCGCAGAGACGCCCACCCAGGAAATTTCTCCCCCTCTAAGCTGCTTTTTCAGAAAATTTAGGAGCCAGATTTAATGCCCTCTCACCTTCCACTCTCCAAAGCTAGTAATTCTGTTTCTAAAATACACCTTCATAGCTACCTTCACCTCACACTTTTTACTCAACAATTCCCATTTTCACACCTTTACTTGCCCTCAGATTTATTCTCCAGGCCGCACTCTACAGTGTGGTTAGCATATGAATACCCAAATCCACTCAAGTTGGTTGTCTTCTTAAAACCCACCAGTGGTTTCAGATGAAAAAAACACATCTTTAGTATGGTGTGCAAGGCTCTGCCCTGACAAGCTCCCACAAGCTTTAGGCCATCCTGAACTTCTCCTGTTGCAGGGTTCTGGGCACCGTGCTGACTTCCTGTGAGCACCTGGAAGGTGCCGAGCACTTTCCATCTCAGGATCTTTGTACGTACAGGTCCATCGGTTGGGAAGGCCTCTTTCTCACTCTTTACCTGGAGAAGTTTGCCTTGACTACCACTTGTTACAGAAGTCTGGCCAAATCCACCCTCCTCCCAGCACTCTTTTACTGTGTACTCTCAGGGGACCCAGTATTCCTCCTTAGAGTAGATGTGTGTATTTATTTGTATGCCCCCACCCAGATATCAATATTCATAAGGATAGTAGCATCTTTTGATCTGCTTACTGCTGTATTCGTAATTCTTAGCACAGTGCCTGGCATATAGTGGGTGTTCAATAAACAAATATTGAAAGAAGGCAGGAAGGAGGAGCAAAAAATGAAGGAAAGAAGGAAGAAGGGGATTGTAAGTGAGGCTATAGGTGACTACTAGAGTGAGAACACTTCCTTGGAGAACTTTACAAATCCCTGTGGGCCTCAGGAGTCTACAGTGATTTAAGAAGAGCTCACCAAACCTGCATTTTCAGGGGGCGGGCCCCTGCCTAGCACCTGTTCTTATTCCTAGGAGCGAGCAGTTCATGAAGCCATTGCTCATTTTTATGTGGTTGTGCAAGCATCATTAAAATACCATCCGTCCTTCTGCTGCCATTGCTCTCAGGTGGGGATCTTTCCCTTCCCTCTATTCTGACCCTGCAGATGAGGGTTCAGTGAGGGAGTGGGGATTCTCTGCCCTGGGGGCCACGTTGGAAAAGTTTAGGAGGGCAGATCACAATGCCAAGAGTGAGAACCTATCCCTCGCCTGTGTGCTCTCTCCCTCTGGTGGCCAAAAGGTGACATAGCATTCCCCAGCCCCTTGGCAAAAGTTTGCGCACGGAGGGATAGATATCTAAGACACATGATCTGTATGACACTAGGCATCTGGATGAACTGTAAAAGTTCTGGAAAGAACTTGTATTAAATTCAGTGGCTGTAAAATCCATTAAAAGTCTAGCTGAGAAAGGATGATAACATTTAAAAAATATATTTCATTGAATCCACAATACTATCAACTGTAAGATATATCATTATTTTATGTATTACCAAGAGAAAAGAAATTGCTGCCAATCACAACTATAAGATGCATACTAATTTCAGAAATGTTAATTTTTGAAAACGATATACATTATATACTCACGGACAGAGAGTGGTTTTCAAGTAATTGTGCTTAAGTATACAGATAGGAGTTGAGAATTAGTATACTGCACATTTGGAAATTATCCTCTAACTACAAGAATTCAAATATTTTTATATTTCTTTTGATGTGAAATGTGTATATATTATGAGCCCTTTAAGAACAAGGACTTTTTCTTTAATTTCTGTGTTGGTACCCCCTGGCAGAAAGCCCGATAGGCAATAACTCCTGGATAAATGTTTAGTGAACTAAGAAAAGAATAAATGATTGCATAAGGAAAGTCCTTTCTGAAGTGCTCTCACATGGTTCACCACCTCTGTGTCCTTGCTGTGTGCGGACTATATTCCCATTTATAGACAAATCAAGGCCTAGAAGAGCAAAACAGGAACTGTTCCTCCTATGGGAGTGGCTCCCTGTACTTTGCATGGATAGCTTTCTTCACTGTGATAGGAAAGAGAGACCCCAAGAACTGGCAGCTTGCTGCAGAGCCAAGGTTGGACCCAGGTCCCCACCCTGGGCTCTCTCAGGGGCAGCGGGGTGTGCAGGGCCTGGGCCCAGCGCTCAGCCCAGCACTGTTTCACAAGCCCACGTGGCCTCAGCAGTGCTCGTATCTCCTCTAGGGAACACGGCGTTCCTTTGCCATGGGAATGTTTATCCTGCTGACAAGAGGGAAGTTTGGCTTGAGGGCAAGGGTGAGAAGCATAGCAAAAATGATCTTGTAAAGAGAAGGTCGCTAGTTGGGAAAGAGCTCTGTCTGCTTGTGCTGTCTGGGCCCAGGTCGTCCTCCTCAAAGGGCAACCTAGGCTTCTCAGAACAGTCAAATCGCTGACTTAGTTCTGGGCACACAGGAGACGGTCAGTGATTTTCATTTCCCTTCTTGGGCTCCCAAACTGAGGGGAAAGATGGCTAGAGCTACCAGATGAAGTACAAGCTGGCTGGTCTGAAACAGAACGTCTTTCAAAAGTTTCCATAAGGCATCACCACTTGTTAGAACTGAACGTGGAATCCCCGCCCCAGCCAAGTCCTGTCTGAGGGCCTCAGAGCCGTTCCCATCTCCGCTCTGAGCCAGTCCATTAAACCCGCTTCCAAGAACACATAATGATCTGCTTGGCGCACCCCTGCCCTCTGCTT